TACTCGGCGTCACAACACTTCGGAGTCAAGAAATGCCACCAGTAGCGGCGGGGGAGGAAATTCGAAATATTCACTGACCATATGCCTCTGTTGACCCTAGTTGGTGAGAAAAAAGGCAAAAATAAGATGTCGTCATCCAGTATGCAACGTTGGGTATTCTTGCTCTCCGGTAACAATTACAAAAGCGCCTATGTCCCTGGGAAAGCAAATAGAATCACGGGCGCTCTGAGCCATTCAACGTTGAATCACCTATCAGATTGCGTACTTAAACCTCTGGAACTCATCCAGCTGCTGCAACATTTGGGCGAAAATCAAATGCAGAAATCCTTCAGGATACTGAACGAAATATATTAGTACCCAAAGTCAAACGTTTAGCCACTCAAGGATGGCCTGACAGCTGTGAACCGCAACTAATGTCTTACTTTATCCGACGCACAGTGCTTAGTCTCGAGAATAAATGTCTGCATGAGGATCTAGAGCGTTCATACCGCCATGGTGGCGACTTCACGGAACTCCACGGAACACACCCAGAAATCACGAGAATGAAAGCAATTGCGCGACTCTATGTGGTGGCCTACTAGTGACATATATATCGAAGGGTTGGTCCGAAACTGCAACGTGCGTCAAAGCAGTCGGGGGAAATTCCCTCCGTTACCACTTAGTCCTTGGAAATTGCCCAGCAAACCTTGGGAACACATACACGCAGATTTCATTGACCCGTTAGATGAAAAATTGTTTTTGCTGTTGATTGATGCATATTTGAAATGGGCAGAAGTATTTCCACTTGCAAATGCCACTTCTGAGACGACTGTTTCTTGCTTGCGGACGTGGTATACTCCATACGCTGGTAACAGACAACGGTTCCATATTTACTAGTCAAGAATGTCAAGAGTTCCTCAAAAGCAACGGCATACATCATATGAAATCAGCCCCCTACTACACAGCTTCAAGCGGGTTAGCATAAAGAGCGGTCCAGACCGTCAAGGACGGGCAACGAAAACAACCGTTTGCTCCACTGGGAACAAAGTTGAACAAATTACTTTTTGGCCACCGCATTACACCAAACGAAGCTACGTGGAAGAGTCCAGACGAGTTTACATTCGGACGGAAGTTGAGGAGACAGCTGGATCCACGTTTTTCTGATAAGAGGCTACGTTTATAGGTTAAGCAAGATAAATCTTAGACAGAGTACGACTAGATGGCTCCCGATCAAAAATTATGCGAGAATAAACCGATCTACGACAACTTACCCAGAGAAACGACCTGGCAGTCTGGAGAGTTGCGCGATGCTGCGGGACAATATACGGAGGTGGATTTACCTGATGTCGGAGTAGTTACTTGGCTGAGGGAGCACGTCTGCCATCGCTCCAGTTCAATTCCGCCAGAGGACGCGTCCTCAAACTAACATACTGAGTTGGCAAAGGCGCAGAACTCTCCAAACTCAGACCGACCGGAGGCTCAGCATTGTCACCGTCCAACTCGGCTACGCCGACCCGTCGATCGATATCAGGCTTCCTGGAGTAGTTCAAACTAAACGGAGAAGGAAGGTACCATCCTCAAGTCCAATGTACTAAAGCATTTCTCTTCGTTGTCTAACTCTGCTGGCGTGTGTCAGTAACCCGCCTACCCACTCATAGATTGGCCCAATTTAGTATCCCGGATCGGTGCGCTGTACAACAAGCTAGAGCAGGGAATGAGCCAAGAGCATTACGGGTGTGGCGATGTACTTTGAAGCGTTGATAGCGAAGATAAGCTCAGGCCCTAATACAAACATCTGCCTACGCTTGTTAAAACAAAAGCTCAATGACCAGTTTCAGCGATGCACGCATAAAGGGATGGGGTAGAGTGGAGTGCGTCGATGACTATGGATCTGACAGAGACAGTCACGAGGGGTCCAAGACAACCTGTGCAAGTGCCACAGCGAATAATTCCGTCTGTAGTTTTGAAAAGGATGGGTTACACATGTTATGGACTGCAGGGTGCGTTGGAAATCTTTGTCTTGGGCTTGAGCCGATGCCATGGATGCAAGGTCGAGGGTAGGCAAAGACTGAAGAGTGAGGTTGACGCGTTAGAGTGTCGGTGGTGGGGTCGTTGACACGCACGTCAGCAGTGAACTGTGTGACGATGTCAAGATGTCTACTTTCCTGTGGTGAGCAATTGGCAGGCGAGGGGTTGATGGCAGATTTGAGAAGCTTGTGGTAAACGTAGACCGCGAAAGCAAGACGTTCGAGTGTGTGCCGGGAGTATCGAACAGCAAAATAGATGGCATGCAGTTCTCAACCAAACGTCCTGTGTCTGGTTTATGCTGGTTGCAGGTTTTTGAAGAAGAAACGGGGTGGTTGTCAATGCCCACCAAGTTGTTGCTGGAAGACAGTTCCTACAGCGACGTCTGAAGTATCAGTCGCGGTAGAGAGCGTTGCAGTAGGTTCAGAATGAGGTAGGAGAGCTATGTTGGAGGTAGGATCTTTGAGCTTGATAGAGGCTGTGTGTGTTGTGTCAGAGAAAGGGAACTTGCACTCATATTCTCTGAGAACGTCAGTCAAGGGCTACATTAAATGAGCAAATCGAGGAATAAAGGGCCACTAGTAGTTCACCATCACAGGATCGGGGAGATACTTGAATAAAGTCGGAGAGGAGAATTCTTTAATTGCCTGAATATTATCAAGAAGAACTCGGATACCATACCATAAGATAAGGTTAACCAGGAATTCTATCGTTAACTGTGATACTGTGTTGAGTCAAGCGCCGAAACAGCGAACGAAGGTGGTCGAGGTGTTCTACTTCGGATGAACTAACTACAAGAAGGTCGTCGTGGTAGAAGTAGGCTAAGTCTAGGCCACGAGTAACGTCGAGGATGAAACGTTGTAATGTTTGTGCGGCGTTACACAGTTCGAAAGGCATTCTTAGAAACTCTGAGCAGACGAAATGAGTGATGACGGCTATTTTAGGAATGCTTTTCATTTGAAGACGTCTGGTGATAAGCACGAACATGGTAGATGTTACTGAAGATCATCTTACTTGTGAAGCATTCAGGAATGTCCTGCATGTGTGAGATGGGATACTTATCTGGGACGGTTAGCTTGTTGAGTGGGCGGTAGACACTGCAATGACACCAATTACCAGGTATCTTAGTAGCCACCTGGAGTGGCGAGGACCGAAGGTTGTCTGAAGGGTGGGTTATCCGAGTTCGGGCATGTGCTTAGACTCGTCCTAGCTAACCTAAGTTTCGTCAGTGAAAGGGCATAAACAAGATGAGATGGGCGGGCCATTCATCTGAATGTGGGACATTAGTTAGAGTTCCAGGTGCAGCCGCGCTCCTTGGCTGAACGAGCTTCGATTAGTGGGATAAATGCCCAGCTTAGTCTGGGGAACTGGGGAAGGGCGTAAACTGGGGTAATAGTAGCCAGTGCTGCAGCCACGTACACTGAGTTTCACTGCAAGGTCTATTACTTTCTGACGTTTTGCGTTGACCAAGAAATCGAGATGCCTAAGGAAGTCTAGGCCGATGGTGACAAACTAGGCTACAGCAATGGCAAAAACCCAGCGAAATGTTCCCTGAAGACCTAGGTTCAGTGCAAGCGACAGATGACGGTAGGTGATTATTGGCAAGTCATTAGCGGCACTTGGGCTTGTCGACGGAGTAGTTGCCGTCTCACCTGGGATAGGGAACTAAACTGAGTTCCGCATCGTATCAACCAGAAACCAGGTCCAGGAATCATAATCCCGAATGTATATGAAACGAATTTGAGTTTTGCCGACACTGTTAGTCCTCATTATGGCCTAGATGTTTTATTGCTTAGTAACACGAAAACCACCTAACTGTTCGCAATTCCGGGCTTTTTCACCGAAACGCAAGTGGCAAAAGCAGTAACTTGGGGCATTAAGTTTTGATTGACTGGGCGATGATCTAAAACGGCTGCGACAGCGGTGGGGAAGCGGCCTTGTATAAGTGTGCAGGATGATCTTGGCTGCTGAAAAGAGACCGAAAATCGTCAAGAAGCACTAGTCAGCACTTTGATCTCTAAGGAAATGAGTTCCTGAAGTGCGGGCCTTCAGTGTTCCCGCAGGCGCTAAACAACAAACTAAGGTCCTTTATGGTGCAAATTCATTCAATCTCAACTTTCCTGCGAAACCCCACATTGACATGCTGGATCCACACAAGGTAGGGTAACCAAAATCATCAAGAGCTATTTTCTCTTCTTTATCAACTCAAACCGGATTGCTGGAGTGTCCAGTGGTGGGGTCAGCTATTGTGAGGCGATATCATCATTGTTTACCGAATATCGACAAATTCCATTCCCGCCTGTTGCGATCTCCTACAACGGCCAAGACACTAAATGAGCGGCCATCTGCTTAAATTGGTCTGCTAATACAGTCGACTGGAGTGCTGCCCATAGCTTTGCTTTATCTGAGCATCTCGGACACAGATTGTTCTTCTACATCACGTTATTTCTTCCCCTACTTTATCTCTACTCGAAAGACGAGGATACGCTGTCTAGTTGCAGTAGGCAACATGGTCCATGTTGATCAGAAAATGAGGCAGCACGAATCAGTGTGTTCACCAGCTCGTTACGTACGACGATATAAAAATCTTGCTCCGCTTTTAGGTATATTGCTTGGCGAACCTACTGAAAGCCGATCTTTTTTCTTGTCAAGCTTACCTCCGGTTCGTTTGTACTTGCAATGGATCGCCAGGTGCCTGCTAGTTTACCTGTTGATGAGGCATCGTACCTCGGCTCGCTTACATAGCGACAACAGTAAACGCTTGTATACCTTCATTGCCTTCTAACACCCATTGTTGGTGACGGTTAGCGACGAGTGTGGTGCGAACCAGCCGCTTCGCTAAAGTTTAAATACTTTCCTAAATCCCGTTTGGATTAATAGTGATTGGTGTTATCAAACGAGCAGGAATCGAACGGCACATTTGGCGCTATTTACTGTCACAAACCTGTTTCTAGTTTTCTACACTTGTTTCAATAATCATTTTTGGTCCTTTATAGCCATCCAGTTGGACGGGATACTCCGACGACACCGGCGCTACAAATACCCCTCAACAGCTGGCCTCAACCGAATCGGCGGATACCGACGAACCTTCGAGTTCTGGAGGCATTACCAACGGGGTAATTTCAAGCTGATATTTTATCAAGTTTTAACGGAGATTGCCATTTTTATGTGTGAAGGTACTGACCTCAGGATGCCTGATTAGCCTTTGTGAGTGAGCATTGAGTGTACCTGGTACAACGCGTGTTATCAACCAGGCACGCTTATTGGCCGACAATGATATACTTTCGGACAATAACATTTGCGACAAGGGTTAATGAACAACCTCATCATGGATGACTTGAAACGTAAACAAGGGATAACAGTAATATCGCAATGGCCTAGGCCGTCTGGGTGATCCAGCTAGGTGATCGGTCAGCATGGATCTATGCGCGCATATGAAATTTGTCCTGGTGCTTAGTTTAACCTGACTCCCAAATCGTATTAACGCATGGTGTGGACGCTCTTGGTCGATTTGGGACCGATCTCTTAGCTTGTAGCAGATGTGAAACACCATGTTTTGTCTTCTTTTTTATCATTTGCGTTACGTACCACTTCGTACCATTTGTCTAAATTAACGGATTGTGAACACACACTTTCGAACGCGCTCGCAAAGTCCTTGTGAAAGTGGCTGAAACCTGGGGCGAAGGAAAACGTCGCGCTACCGATGGACCTGTGGCCAATCAGACGAAGACCGAGCGCGCACGACTAATGCCGTCCAATGCGCAAGCGAAACGGCGTGATTTTCGACCTCTGATAACCGGATTGGTCAGCCCTATGGCGAGCGGACGGTTCACGCCGGGGCCAGTTTAACGACACACCGCTGTGTTAGCTTGCCAGCCGAGGAAGCCTCAATCTAATAGACTGATGGTCAGACGCTGGTCAGGAGAATTGAGCGCATGGAACGCACAATGGCAGGACAGCACACCTCTGGACAGCGAAAAAGCAGATTGGTCAGCCGTACAATGAGCGGGTGGGTTACGCCTGAGACCATAGTAATACCACGCTTAGCTGTGTTGCAATTAGGCAACCGTGGGACCATCGAGCAAGGGGGTGGATGGCCAATTAGAGGCCACCATGCCGTCTACCCGAAGCGGCAACCACGAGGATTGACGTAACCCTGCATTCCGCAAGCGTGGATCAGTCCAAATGAAGAAACAGCACAAACTAATTGGATGGATATATAACCCCAAAGGCCATCTAACTAGGACCAGCCAATAAACGGACGACAGCAGAAGACTGTATGTAGTCTATAAAAAACCGCGATGTTTCTTAATATGGATTATTATCGCCGCTCAGACGTTTTTGATTCCCGGAGGGCCGATCAACGGTGCTGACTTCGTCTGTTACTCCCTCTTGGTAGGCCTTTTCCAATTCTTTCATTCAATCGGATCTATAGCTTCGTATCACCATCTAACAGACAGCAACCGAGTGAACAAATTTAACACAAGTGTGCCCGGCCGATCTTCAACTGTGACGTTTTGGCTAAGGTTGCGTTTTGCCTTGGGACTCGAACTTCTTGCATAACATCTACTACGCGCTCAACCAATCAGACCAGGGTTCAGCAAACTCTTTTCGCAAGGTTCGGGATAACTGACAACACGACTAACAGGAGCCGCATGATCATTCTTCTCAGTATTTGCAAGCCAGATCCAGAACACTTGGAAAAACAGAGAAAATGCCCTACTCGATGTTCCCTTAATATTTTAATAACCATAGTGAGGGATAAAATGAAATGGATCTGAATGAGGAAAAGATACAAAATTACTAACGTAATAGAAATGCTATTGATGCACCAGTAAAGATGACTAGAGGTCATTCGTGGAATAACGGCCTAACATAGACTTAACATTCCTACCTAATTCGCTAATGAATTATATGACGAATGCTGGATATAAATATATATATATATATATATGCTTGTAAAATGTCAAACACTTGGAGAACCAGAGTGATGTGTTTTAACTGGTGTTAAATCAATAAGCGAGGTTGGAACTGGATTAGGCTACTGTTTACATGCAGTTAACAATGCCAAAACTTACGAACGACGCTAAGTTGCGATCCCAGCATTAGCTATTTTCCTTTGCATCCATAGCGCTTTCAAATTCCACCTTTCGAAAATCATATTCCTCCATGGATCTTTTAAGACTTCCCTTAACACTGTCTAATTGCATCCAAAGGACGCGAGCACTCCTACATGCCAATGTCCATTGAGTGACTAATCCCAAATAAGCCAATAACATCCCACTGTGTACTCATCTTTTATATTATCAGTTGATTTGAAATTGGTAACTCAACGAACAGGACGCATTTTTAGGAGTGTTTGCGTCCGTTGTATTTAATTTGATAGTGTTAAAGACCATCTTGGGAGATCTGAGGAGGGATTGGCGTTCCTTAACGAGGAATTTGAAACCGCTATGTTTACAATTGGCTGAGAGAAGTTATAGTTTGTTTAAACAACACGCGACTCATTCCAAACAATCAAAAATGTGTCTGGAAATTGGCACAGTGCAAACTAACCGGGTCTTAATACGACGTTTTATATGACACGTTCATGAAGGTAGCTGGACAGCCTAAAATTTCCGTACAGAGGTGTGAGTTAAACGAAAGCTCGGTAGGGAACACGAATGGATGGGGCTCATGAGTGATTATTCCGGCCAATGCCCAAATGATGTGCGATCACTGGTAATACAATAGCACGGTGACATATGGAACATTCACGCGCAAGCTCAAACTAGCATTCAGTGCAACATCACTGACGATGCGTCCTGCAATGTCAAATGCTTTTTGTATCACAACGTTTCGTGTTCCATAGCTTTTATCGAAAATTTTCGGGTATAGTCCGCAGATGGGATGAACTGACTTAGCGAACCGTAGTTTGATGATCCCTGACCCAGACCACAAAACTAACTCTCGTAAGTGTTGTTTACGTTTCATATTGTTTATTCGTGGTTTGTTAACCTGATGATCCACCCCCCAAAAATGAGCACGGTCGTCAAATTTCGTTAATGGTGTTTTACGGTAGCTTCGGAATCGAAATAGAATTAGTCTCCAATCAAGCAAGACTCGACTCGTAGTAAGAACACCAGATTTGGGATTACAATTTCGTGGGGATATTTTCTAAGTCAATTAGTGAAAAAGAAAAACAATAGGCAATCGTTAAATATTATATGTACAATCAACACATCCTCCGCAGCTTGAATGCAGCTCCAGCTTTCTGTAATTCAGTGGGGATATCTGTTGCACCCTACCGGATCTGCTTGTAGGCTGACTCTGCTCAGAACTCGCGTAAGAATCGGAAACTGAATTGTCAGTAGTAATTTCAGCGCACACATAATCAAATGACAACTGACCGGAATCTTTGTATCGTACCTGATCAACATGCCGTTTATGTACAGAGCAATCATCGAGATCCAGCATTTTGACCATGCGACTTCCAAGTTTGTTCACAAAGTGATTTCGGATGAAAAACATAAACCATTAACTCTAAAATAAGATACTTCTGCGGTTCCCAAACAAATGCCCTGGATTTACACAGTTTGACGGGTGTATCTCTAATGGTGCAATGTACGCAGTCACTGTATCGAAGAAGGAAGTTATCAACACAGCGATCAAGTTCATCAAAAGAAGTAGGAGCACAGAAGGTAACCGAAATTATTAAAATTGCCACCAAGCTTTCAGCTAGGCCATTAGAGCATGGATGTCGTGGAGCAGTAAAAAGGTGATGACACCCAAGACTCTGCAGCCAAATGTTAACAATTGAAGCTGAAAATTGTGAACCATTGCCACTTACAACAGCTACTGGGACTCCCTCCCTACTAAACACTTTATCAAGGCACGGACAGTAAAGTCAGTAATTGGTTTCTCAGCCAGGAATACTTCCGGCCACTTTGAATAAGGATCCGTCACCATAAGTGCATAGTAGTTCTGTAGAAATGGTCCACAGTAATCCATGTGTATCCTTTGTCAGGGCTCGCATGTCATCGGCCATGGTGTCCACTTGGATGGCTGCTGTAGGATCTTGTGCTTACAGTTCGGGCAATCAGAAGCAGTTTATTGTATATCTGCATTTAATTCCGGCCACCAGCACAAGCATCAAGCTGGGGACTTCAGCTTTTCATCACCAAGATGACCAGAAAGTAAATCCATCAGAACAGTTGATCTCAAAGTCGGCGGAATAACGACACGGTCATTCACACACAGTAATTCCTCAGATGTAACATACAACTCATCACGACGCACATAACATTGTGGAAACCCGTTTTAGAGAAACAGACCGTTCTCGTTTGAGAGCAGAAATCAATGACCCGTAATATTTTCTAGTCTCCTTGTTATGGTCTAACCGAGAGATCCGAAGCGGCTATGTGAGTAAACAGCTCGGTTCAGATTTGACTTCGGCTACCGTTGCGTTTCGCAATAGGTAGTCGGCGTGAGGAATGAACTTTGCAGTTCTGTGCTCCGACCAATAGTTGTGCGTGCTGAGCGTAACACTCCGTCTTTGAACCACAACTGTTGAAGCTTTAGCTAAAGGACTGACATGATGGTAAATGCACTTTAGTGCTGCACAAAGACTATGCCCAATACTACCTTAAATATTGATATTTGTAGAATCAATTTGAACATCAAGATATATATGATTGAGACTCGTTTTAGAAATGAGAGACTCCACACTACCAATATCAACAATGAAACGATGTGACGTGCTATTTCCGTAACGGAAAGCAACAGATAATTGAGCACTTGTATTCACAGCCAGTGTTAACGAACGGAATTCCTTTAGCGAGATCACAGAGGCATCATCATGTTGTTAGACTATACCACAACGTTTGAGTTGACGGAAAACACTGCGGAAATGTCCGACATTTTCACATTGAAGGCATTCATAATTCCGATGCGAACAGGTATACCGGGAATGCAGCTTTCCACAAGAAACACATTGTCCAACGTTTTTGTCGAGTTGACTACACTTTATATTACCTGAATTTTGCTGGGTGTACGAATGTGCAATGCCGTTAGGTTTACGTAATATCCTTCCTGTTCAGGTTGGTAAGTTCCTGCGTATTCGTTGCCAAATGTAGGTCGCAATAGACCGGAAGACCGTTAATGGAAAGCTAAGAGAGAAGGTTAACGACTGGACAACCAGTTAGTGCGAACGAATATCAAGGAACAATTTATCGAGAGGCAGTTGGCAAGCAGACATCTAAAAGTGACCGAATAGCTACGAGCAACCGATCGCAGGAACACGCGTCCGCAGTCAAGGTCACGGAGACAGATAGAAACGCG